ATATATTTATATGTGTGTGTAGTTATAGGATTTTATTTATATATATTCCTATGTATGTAGTTATATATATATATATATATATATATATGTATATGTGTGCGTTTGTTGTTTTACATTCTATATTTTGTGAATACTTTTTTAATTTTTTATCTCCAACAGGGAATGATCTACCACCGAGACACGCCCCTGGGCAAACACTCAATAACATCCGATTTATTTTGGAGAACGAAGCGGATCTTCCTGGGTTGTCCAAAGAATGGGTAGTGAATCGAGTCGTCAACACTACCGAGCGTAAGGCTATAATCGCTCTTCTTGAGCAACACAACCAGGTATAGCTATCGACATAAATATACGTGCACATGCATACATACGCACATGATCAAAGAGTTACATCTTAGTGGCAAATTACTTCTATTTCACCTATTTATGTGCTCGAATGTGTCTGTATAAGGAGAAAAGCGTGGTATTCACCGTTTGTTTGCGTACAGTGATGTGCGAGTGTATGCGAACGTTTGATCAGCCGATGGTCGACTGAGTCGCCAAGATCAGCAATCAAAACTACACTTCATATGCTTTAATTGATCCACCACAGTTAAGAGAATTGAGGACACTAAAGTGTTTCCCCTACATGGTGTGCATATCTGCTTCTCATACATGAGAGAATTGAGGTTCACGTAGATGTGCAGCATTCGGTGTTTCCCTCGCACGACTAGTGTGTCGCCGTTCCAGTGCGTGTAGCTTATTGTCTCTGCGTATCGCAGGTGTACACTGACATCGAGGTGGACCTGCGCAAGTATAGCCAAATCCAAACCGACTGGGCCAATGTAGACTTCAATTGGCAGGACATCACTCGGTACACGCCTATGGGTAAGGCGCTCGCACTTGTGCCAAACCAAGCACAACCACTTATCTCACCATACACAAGAACACACAACGCGAACGGTGCAGCTTGTGGATTTGGCGCAGTTGGTGTTGTCTGTGTTGCGTTTCAGCAGTCAATTTGTTTGGTTCCCGCTGGTATCGAGTGTATATCTTTATCTGTTGTTGGATGAGTGAGTGTATAGAGGCTGTGGCGATGGGGGGTTCGACCCACATACGGGGATTTTATAGATAGACCAGCTGGTTCGTACCAGAATGTTAAACTCCACCGATATGTCTGGTACAAACAAGCTTGCACTTAAGCCTTGTTTGTATATACTCGTCACAGAAACTGAAACCAGTAGATGATCAGCTCTCTATTCCATACATCGGCCCAGTCGCTGTGGGTTTGGGTGTACTAGCGTGTTCCTCCATCGAGTACCCGTCGGTATCGATTTATTCTTATGGGTCGTTCGTGCACCAAATGAATTTGCCTATACAAAATACGCACTGAAGAGGGACGTATGAATCATTGTACGGGTTCTTATAAGTTCACACAGGGTTGTAGGGTTTTAGGTTTTTGGGGTTTTAGAATTTGGGAGGTTTACTGGACATATCCGGGTGACGCTGTAGTCGCATCGGTATTAAACCACGGAGAAGTGCACGTGTGGGCCTGAATGTATACGTTCGAATGGCTTTTCTTTTGAACTTAAGATTCAAACTCGTCGTTTGCGACATGCGTGCTATTTCCCTTCGCAGAGCAGAACCCGGTTTTCCCCGACCGAGCGCTGTGGAGAGCATCGGCCATCGACCACGTTTTGGCAAAGAAAAACCGGTATGTGTGGTTGTTGGGGGACTCTGATGAAATGAGTTCGTATGTCTGGCGCAGGTTCACCACTGTGTATGTAGATTAAAATGTATGCACAACATCAAGTTAAGAATGGGTCTGTGTGTACAAGGGTGTGCGTTCACACGCGACATGAGTATATGGCAAGTACCTAATACATGTGAGCCTTAAATGTGTACTTTAACGCAAAGTTTTTACCTTGTTTTCATATACACATCTGCCTTTTTCATAGTTCTTGTCATAAGTTTTTACTCTTCGGTATTGCCACATTCATCATAGTACACCAGCCCTCACCAGGCGTATAGTGACACCAAGCGTGTATCACGAGTGTATTTACGACATGACTGCTTCTACGACATCTTCGAACCACAGGTATATCATCAATAACAACGGCGCCCGCAATGCGATGCTGAAGATCGGAATAAGCAAAGGGTATCGGTGGATCCTTCCATTCGACGGGAACTGCTTCCTCACACCTGCTGCGTGGAAGGATATGACAGAAACCGTCATGAAGAATGTGTGTACACACCGATATGTCTTTAATATGTATTACCTATTCTTTCATGTCGTTTGTATCTATTGCATTTGCTATTGCGCCCAGCCGACCCTTTCTCGTCGTGTTTGCAGCGACATTTGTCGTTTATGTAATGTGCGTCTGATAGTCATTGGTTCTCTTTTTACGGATTTGCCCCTTATTCGTCACAGGTTCATCGTAATCCTGTGGATATGCACTATCTCCTCTCTGGATTCTTATTTGCCCATCACACATCTGCAAATCTCTGTCCGAGTCTGACCCTGTTCTTGCGGGGACAGGACAGGAGAAGGGACAACGTATTATGATATCGTATTCAGGAGAAGGGACAACGTATTATGATATCGTATTCACATGTACATGCACTTGTATTCCAACTCGTTTACACAGACCAATGAGAAGTACTTCTACGTGCCCATGGAGCGTATGCAAGACAATGCCGCGTTATTTGACCCCAACTTTAAAGCGGAGGCTTTGGAGGAACCGCAGCTCATCTTCCGCAGCGACGCCATTGAGAGATTTGACGAATCCCTCACGCGATATGGGCGAAGGCCTAAGGTAGTGACTATCTCAGGAGTATATAATAGATGACGGGACACAGGAAGTATATATGTGGCGGGATAGCTCTATTCATATGTGATCATGAGACGAAGGAAGCAGACAATCGCAGGTTTTTGTACTGGATAATAGGACTAGGTATTGTGTTGGTCAATATATATATGTGTGCTAAGATAACTAACTGTGTTCATATATGCACATGAGACAAAGGAAACAGACAATGACAGAAGTTTATAATGGATAATAGGACTAGACATTGTGGTTGTCAATACGTGTATGCGCTGAGGTAGTTTTGTTCATGTATGATTATGAGACGAAAGATAATCACATGTGTTTATAATGTATAACAGGACTAAACATTATGTTGGCCAATAT